AGGGGAAGGGCTGAAAATTAAAGACACATACACATGTTAAGATTTGATAGACCAAATACAATTTATAACCGCTATGCTTCAAGCCTTCATAAGTTGATAACAGGTTCAATGAATTTATCTTTTTTTTTCATGACGCAGAGCCTACTGAATGAATAAAAAAGAAAATGAATTGAAGAAAAACAGCATGCACAAGTCCCTTACAAGCACAAAGAAGAAAAGAAAGGAAGTGGTTGAAAGTAAAATATTAAATAAACACAGGCAAAGAAATTGCAGCTTTTAAAATGTATTTATTTGGTTTCTGTTTCATGTGGTCAATATATGGAGGGGCTGTAGAGGCATTCTCAGGTAGTGAATGGGGGGTCATATATGTTGGTATAAATCAATGAAAGTTAAAGCCATTGCACCACACATCTTAATTTTAGGTTGATGTTTTCAAGTTAACTTACCTAGAAATAATGCTAGACCAATACCAATTAGAAGAGGAAGGGGTGCAGTGTCATCCAGCTCAATATCTTTAGCTTTATCCCCTTTGCGAGACTGTCGAGCTAAAAGGATTTAAGGATGAAAAAATTATTTTTAAGAATTAATAACCCATTTGTTACCAATAATAATTTCTGTTAAATTTGTTACTTAATTGCTGTGGATTAAGTCTAATTGTAAATAAATCCTTAAATGATAACCGATTCTTAGTTGCAGAAAAAAATATTGTTGTAGGGGCTTAATTTAGAGTTTAAATTAAATAGTGCAGTATTTCACATTCATGCACTCATTATTTAGATACATTTTGATATCAATAAAGGTATTTTCATTATTGTGTATTTACAATTTATTTTCAATTGCTTTCAATCTTTTTCTTCATGTATATTCTAATTAATTGCAATTTTAAAATATTATAACTAAAATGTTATTTTTTTAGTTATATTAAAAATCCATTTCAAATATAAAAGATTATGTACCTGCAGTAGTGGTACTAGTACTTGTATAAAACTGAAAAAGTCCATTATCATGAAAGTCACTCATCATTAAGCTTTGATCTCCTTCACCAAAAGGTCGAGAAAAAAAATTAACTCAGTCTACAAACAATTGCACTCAGCCATTTCAAGGGTGGAACAACACTGAGGTATTTCAGCAAAGCTTGTGTGCCATCCATACTGAAGATAATTGAGCTGCAATTGAAAAGTCTTTCTTACAACATTTTTCATCTTAACCCTTACAGTACCCGGTGCGTCTTTTTTTAGTGACCTCCTTTTTCCCCGTGACCCAAGGGCGTCTTTTTTCACTAGCTGATTGCTTTCCCTGTGGCCCAAGCACGTCTATTTGCCACATAGAGGGGTTTCTAATATAAACACAGAAACGAGGATATAATCTTTCACCACAGTCTCGGGCAGAATGTTTATTTGTTTGGGGAATAGTCAAATTTTAATTTGCCTTTTAAATTATGAAAATCCACCAATTACAGAGTTTTTTTTTAGCGGATCTGTATTTGTTGTTTCCATGGCGCTACCTATTGCTATTGTTGATGGCGACTTACGCCCACTTGATGAAACATTTTGTTCTGAAAATATTATTGAGCTTTAATTGAGATTAGAAGTGGATTTTTTAACACCCTTATCCATTTCTGAACAGACAATTCTCTACATGTTATTAATTGTTTAAAACAAAAAAGTTACAAAATAATTAACAGACCTATCAAATTTTGGCTCATTCCAAAATAATGTCTGAGCCACAGGGAATAATTAGCAAATTAATAGCTGTTACTGAGGTATTAAAAGCAAAAAGTAGGTTAGTACCATAAGGGTTAAGTTAATTCAACTTCATTTAGGAGAGCTTTTTTATAAATGCCTGTGGGTGAGCTAAAACTAAAACTACTCCTTTCAGCTAGGGAGTGAGAAAAAATTTGACAGAAGAGATAGCTTTTTCATTACTATCTGATTAATAACATCATTTATATAAACTAGTGGTTGGTCAACTCATTAGACTAGTTAAAAGAGCCAAAAATCAGCAGCAGGATGATTAAAATTTTGTTGAGAGCTAAATTTCTTTTCAAGAACCTGTCAATAACCATGTTTTTCAGTCAAGCCTGATTTGTGGCCGACTGGCCAAGCTGCCCTCGGTTGCTAAAGAGCGGCATGCGGCTGCCGACCACTGGTATAAACTAAGGAAATTTTCTGCTATCTGAATCTGGGTTTTCCCACACTATTTATGCTATGCAAATATTGAAATGCTCATTAAATTTGGTTTAATGAGTACTTTAAAAATTTTAAAAACAATAAATGACTGATGTCCAAGTCCAAACCAAGCAATGAATTTAAGCCTAAGCCTAAACCCCATGCCATATAATATAATCTCAAAACCCTTTTATTTTAAATGTATTGCTACATACTACAGACATGAAGACTGGTATTTAATAAATTAATTTTTTTCTTTTAAAAAAGAAAAGCATCTTTTACAGTTCAGGGGAGTGGAAAAAGGGTGGGTACATTATTATGAGATCAATAATAATAATATTTATAAACTCCAATTTTATTGACACTATAAATTATATTTATAGTATTAATAGTATAGTCTATATCCTATAAAATAAAAAACAAGTTTTACTAGTTTTCAAAAATGCAGTAAAATGGACTTAATGGTGGTTACTTTTATTTAAATTTAATGAGTTTACAGTGACAGTACATAAATTTAAAAAGTAAAAGACTTAGGCATAGGCCTAGACACTTGACTTAAACTTAAAAAGAACTATATCTAATCTAATTATAATAATTTTTTTAAATTTCTTGTCCAAATCTAATACTATACTATTATTATTATTAGTTATTTTTTTTAGTAATTAGAAAGTCTTAATAATATTATATTAATTAGGCTAGCTTTTTACACAAGTTATTTGACTCCGCACCTTGCCTTACGCTACTACAGGCCTTTGCCATCCTAGTTAGAATGTAAGTGTAAGTTTATAGGGGTTGTTCTAGTAAATTAGTGATAGTGGGACTGGTCTGGATCTAAATCTAGTAAATTAAATATAGTTCAGATAGTTAAGTTAGCATAAGTCCAGGAACAAATAAAACTTTTACAAAACTTAGATTTATACTAGCCTAACTCTGCCTAGCTAGGCTTGTCATCACTCCCCTCAGTCTACTTGGCTGTAACTTTTAAATGTAACGTAACACAGATTAAACAAGACTCGTCACTCAGTCAGTGTTACGCTGTACTACTGTACTGTGGTCCGTGGTATTTTTAAAATATCATAAATATGTATAATAAATAAATTCTCCACCTCTCCTATTTTGATAAATTTCAAGTAATAATTTTCCCCTATTAATTTTTATCATAAATAAATCTGAATAAAACTAGCAAAGTTTCTAAATGACAAAATAAGCGAAATTTCGACTTTACTTTATTCCAGTTTCAATAAAAATGTAAAAGAAGCCGCATCATCCATTTTGAATTTTAAAAACAAGGATCACCCATGGCCCCCCAATGAATTTATTGAGAACAAATCATGATAAATGCTCTGTGGTTCCATACACAATGGATTTTAATGGAATGCCTAACGCGTTTTATTGGTAGATTGTGTAAATTTGTTAACAATATGATTTAGTATTAAGATGATAAGTTAATTTGGCTGAAATAAATTACAACAGTTGCGTAGTGTAGGGGGTGAAAAGACAGGCAGTTGCCACATTCACATGCGCAAAATGTTTGGGGCGCAAAATAAAGCAACAAAATTGTCAAACTAAAGCGTTTTAGAAGCGTCATTCTGGCGAATCTTGACAACTACTGAAATATATGGTATACTCTCAGTTGAAGTATACTCACAATGATCCTGCTGAACCGCGTCAACCAGTGTTTCTTTCAGGCATCTTTACGGGGAAATGAGAGGGGGAGGGTGGAGAGGGGGGTGGAGAGGGGGGCAGAGGCGTAGCGAGGGTGTTTGGCGCCCGGGGACAAGATTCGCGCCCGGGGACAAGATCCATTTTAAATCGCCCCCTTTTCTTTTTTTAACTCTCAAACCCATTATTTTTACCAATAATATATTATCAAAGCACATTTTGGCGCCCCTCTTCTTCTTCTTCTTCTTCTATATCTTAAGGGCCCACGATCAATTTATTGATCATTTTGGCTCCTATGCATGTAGATGGGATTTATTTATTTATTTATTTAGGCATTTTTATATAGCGCTTATCATAAAGCTCTAAGCGCTTTACAGTTATTAAAACATGTAAACTAAGTAAATACAAATGAGACACTAGGATAGTAACTACTATTCTATAGAAACAATGAAAATGGCTATAAAAAGAGGACACTTTGACACTTCAGGATTAAACCGAAACAGAAAATTAGGTAGGGCAAGGAGGGTGCATCACAGGTCATAGGCGGACCTAAACAGATGAGTTTTAAGGGACTTTTTGAAAATGGACGAGATTTCACTATGACGTATATGGAAGGGGAGCTGGTTCCAGAACGTGGGCCCATGGAAGCAGAAGGAGCGTTCACCGATGGTCTTAGTTTTAGTTCTTGGGATTGAGAGGGTTCTACTGTCAATGGAAGAACGTAGTTGTCTTGTGGGGATTTGCAATGTTTCTGTTACTGGTGGTGATGAGGAAATTATGCACTAGGTGTTTGAAGGCTTGAGGCAATAGACACAAATGTGTCTAACTAGCTTGCGCCCGGAGACATCTGTCCCCCTGCCCCTCCTTTTTTTTTTACATTATTTTTTTTTAAAAATAACTCTTGATGTTCCATGGATTGTGGCCAATGTTGCTCGCAATTAGTGGTCTTTTAATGTTGAAGTCACAAAATTACCAGTCCAAATAGGAGAAATTAATATGTTAAAAGTAAGTTTCTTAATAAATGCGGTTAAGGTCTGGGGAATTTTCCCAAGGTCTGGTGTGACAGCAGGGAAAATGGTGGGAATCTTAATCTATTTTAGATTTCGCGAAGAGTTGTCTTGCGTTTATTAAGTGTGACGTCAAAACGGATGAAAACAAAGTTCATCTCATACTGATGTAAATTGACGGAGAAAACTGAATGTAACTGTATTCTAAATAGTAAAAAGCTGGAATGATCTGATCTTAGAACATACTCACAGTTTTATTTATACGAAAAAAATTGTGTTATATTTAAATAAATAAATATTTTTATAATTAAAGTATCGACATCGCCGATATTGAATTAATTGTTTAAATTATTGATATCTCATCAGTCATCACTCTACACTCTAGTCTACACTCTACTCTTGACTCAAACTCTTCTTAGTCTTAACAAGTCTTAGGCCTTAGACTTAGAGGGCAGGCTAATTTATAAGTCTTAGTAGTTAGTAATCTTAGTCTTGTTTCAAGCACACTTAAAAAAAAACAAGCTCTATTTACTGTTAATTAGTAGTCTAGTAGTTCATTACTATTAGTATTATTACTCATCTGTCATTAGTCACTATGACTATATATCACTTGACCTTGAAAAAGTTATACTAAGTTATAGGCTGTGGCTATAAAAACTACCAATAGGTTCTAGGGAGCTATTTGTAGTAAACTACCAATAGCTTCTAGAGAGCTATTGGTAATACACTACCAGTAGCTTCTAAGTGGCTTTTGGCAACTATTGTTAGTTTACTATGCTATACTATAAAAAAAAACTACCAATATTGGTGATAGATTGAATGATGTAGTGCAATAATTATTGGTAGTCACAATTCATTTTTTATTACAACACTGAAATCACTCTAACTCTAAAGTCTAAAAAATGTATGTCTCCACACAAAAAAAATGTGCCAAAAAACTTGTTGTTTTCGTCTAGTCTCATAAATTCACTCCAATCGGATTTTCAAGACATAATAATAATACAATTGTTTTTCTTTCTTTATATGTTTTTTGTTTTATTTATGTATCACTATCACTGCTTATGTTTTCATCAAAATTATGTGCAGTTTAAAACATTGATTCTGCATACTCTGCATAGCATTAAAAAATAAATAGTAAATAGTTATTCTTATACATTAAAATTAAATTGATTAATTTGTGTTATAGTTGCACAATATACCCAATGAAATTGTTTAATTGTGCATACAAATATTGATGCCTTTATAAGTTAATGAGGGCTCATTTTTGCAAATAACACTCAGTAGACATTTCTCCCAACAACAGAAATTTTTTTTAAAGAGGGGGGGGGGGGTGTTGGTTCAAGTGACCATTTTCCTAAACAATGATTGGCTTAAGGTTATTTTATCATCCTTAAGCCTAATCATTGCAAATAACACTCAGTAGACATTTCTCCCAACAACAGAAATTTTTTTTAAAGAGGGGGGGGGGGGTGTTGGTTCAAGTGACCATGTTCCTAAACAATGATTGGCCTAAGCTTATTTTATCATCCTTAAGCCTAATCACGTTATTATACAGTTTCATTTAACTAAAGTAAAAAGATTTTGATTTTAATATGCACACTTTAAAAAATTATTTAGGCCTGTATTTTAATTTGTAATTTTAATCATAATAATTAGCACACACAAAATGTTTACAGCTGTATTTTATTTTTATTGCACATCTTACTTTGGCCTTGGCAAAGAAAAAGCTGGGTAAAAAAATTTCAGAATATGATCCCCATTCAAATCCAGTATCATACATCTATCTAAGATCTATATTAGGTCTATATTATAAATTATATAGCAATATAGCCAAATCTGAGCATGGGGAAGGCTACAGCAGATAGTGTTAAAACTTTAAAACAGTACTGTAGATTTTATAATTAGTGCCGAAGTGTTGTCACTAGTACAAACTAGTAATAAATGAATGGGGCAATACTTCGCCAGCCTCATTGGAAGTGGGTATTTAAAGCTCAGATTTTGGTTTGATTTGATTGGCTGGACTACCAATAGCTCTCTAGTAGCTATTGGCAGTTTACTGCAAATAGCCCCCTGCCCTAACTAGATGCTATAAATTAATAAGTATAGGTAGTAAACTACCAATAGACACTTTCAAGTTATATTAGTATTGGTCATTGGCATTGGTCTTTTTGTCTGAGTCTGTATTCTATATCTTTTATAACTAACTATGCTATACAAATGTAGGGCTACTCTAATGTATTTTTACAGTTTTAAATTTACAAAAAAAAATATGTTTAATTTCACCAACAATGTGCCATATGTGGAGAGTATTAATTTAATTGGAAAATGCAAAGAGCATGCGCCATGCAGTATCACATGGCTGCTATCCTTGGTTGCTAAAATTAGGAATAAAAAGTTAAAATTTAATGAAAAATGTCCCTAACCCTAACCTGAACCCTAAATCACTAAAAAACATGTATCCCTAAACCTAATCTGAGCCCTAAATAACTAAATGTATCCCTGAACCTAAGGATAAGGAGAGAAACCAAAGCAGAAACTTTACAAAAACACGTAAATGATGTCATTAGTCATGGCGCGTTCTCTTTGCATTGACCTTTTAATTAAATAATAAATGATACAGCCCAGTGTTTCCCAATGCAAATGTGACAACATGTTGGGGGGGGGGGGCACATGGGGCATTTTGGGGGCTTTTATGATTTAGACTCTGAGATGGAAATAATCATTAAAATCAAAAATTATACAGGTCTAAGGGTAATGCAAAGGAGCACTTTTAATTAAATAATAAATGATACAGCCAAGTGTTTCCCAATGCAAATGTGACAACATGTTGGGGGGGGGGGGCACATGGGGCATTTTGGGGACTTTTATGATTTAGACTCTGAGATGGAAATAATCATTAAAATCAATAATTATACAGGTCTAAGGGTAATGCAAAGGAGCCACGGCAATGTGATCAATGTTAAAAATGAACTGACAATCATATTATAATGTTAAATGTATTACTTTTAGTCGAGTAGGCTAATTGCTTTCTTTATTGCAATACTGATAGCAATAGCAAAAAAAGTCAAATATTTATTATCCTTTTCTTAGTTTTATTATTATTGAAACTCATGGTCTGATTGAAAATCAGTCTTCCTGACAGTAGCATGGAGACTTCTTCTTATCCTATTTTAATAAGCCTTTACTTTAAACTATAACTAAAGGAGATTAAGGGAGGAACGTGCATCTTTTTCCATTTGAGTCATGCTGATATAGCCATTAAAACATAAGTCCTCAGATATTTGATTTTTTTCCTTTCCAAATCTAAATATTAATCATGAAATCCTTATTTCTTTTTCTAGACCAATTCAAGGTAAAGAACATTCTCATTTGCACAAAAGTTTTATTATCATGAGTGGAAAGAAACGGAAGGCTGCAAAAGGAATTTTGGGATTTCCTAAAAAGAAATCTATTCTCTTCACATTCAATGCTAGAGAAGGAGAAGAATGTTCAACTGATTCTGAAGATTCTGATTACAGTCCTGGGAGGTTGTTTTTAAAAAAATTACTAGCTAATCTCTAGGTCAATTCAATAAGCATTTAGAGAAACTTTAAACATGTCATTTTAAAAAAAAACAATGCTTTTATTACTTTGATAGCAGCCCAAAACCTGAAATGTTGCCAAAATAAATTCAATAAATATATTTGAATTAAGAATGTACATTCAATATAATTTTTCTCTTCTTCTCAGCCTGGTGCCTACAAGAAACGCAAAGAAAGCCAAACGGAAAGGTAACAATCAAGCAAGACAGGGACTTTCAGTGATTAACAGAAGGGTGACCAGAAAGGGTTTGTTTGTTGCTAATTCTTTTGTGTCAGTGTTGCAACTTTGGGCTTTAAAAAATCCCATTTGTTTAATTGGTGTGCATTGAGTGTTTAGTTTGCAATCTATCACTTTTATATGATACATGAAAGCTACATAGATTAGACACATAGGTCTTGGTCATTCTTGGTTATTTGAATCGTTCAGAATAAAATCTGCTCATCTCACACGTCAATAAACCTAATTTCCTCTTGTGTTTCAGAAACAGTTGCTTTAGAGGCCAACGCGTGTTGTAAAAATGAGATCATACACATGTGTCTTCCCTCTGAGACAATGTTGAACATTTTTTCATTTTGCCTTGCTTCAGAGGGACTCCTTAAGTTTTTATCCAGGTAAGAAACAAAATTAACCCCGAAATGTTTTACCATTACTTTGAGGTCTATATTACTTTCCATAAAATTTAATTTTTGCTTCAGGACAATGTACATAACTGGCTTTTAATCTCACGTGAGGTAGGTTGTCTTCTGAGTTTGTTTTACATAGGATTACCCTCTACCCAGAGAATAGATGCCTCATTGGCATGTCCAATTCACAGCTATTTGCCCATCATCCATTTCACCCAGCAATTTGTTCATTGTCCACTCAACCGGATATTTGCCCATCGTCCAATTCAACCAGCTGTTTGCCCTTTGCTAAGGACAACTTCCAGTAAATTAGAACCCTCTGCTTCTTGATTCAAGGCAGAAATATAAATATATAATTCAATGAATAATATATGAAATGAAATGTACTATTACTTTATCCTTGCAATTTTCATCATGGGGTGACTGGGAAACAAACATGTCCTTGCTGATGCAGAAAAACTTTGTCAACTGTTACTGTTATATTTGCCAAATGTAAGATTAAATATTTAATTTCTTGGACGCCGCTCACTGGCTTGATGCAGACTGGAAAAAAATGTATTTAAATTATTGCTGTCTTTTCACATCAGGGTGCCCAGAGTATGCAAAGAATGGAACAGATTAGCAAAGGACCAATCACTGTTCAAGCAAGTCAATTTAAGTAGCACTTTGGGTGCAATGAACAAGAAACGACTCAAAGGATTGCTCAAGCTTGACTTGTCCCACTGCAGGGTTCTCAATTTTGAAGGGCAAATGAGAGTTAAGCAGAACTTCTTGGAGGTAAAACTATATGCCTTTGTATCTTTGGTTTCATGAGTCAGATCTGATGTAGTGTATAACAGATGACCATTCAGATTCTGAGTCAGATCTCATGTACTGTATGACAGATTGACAGAGGACCATTCAGATTCTGTACCAGATCTAATGTACTGTATAACAGATTGACAGATAACCATTCAGATTGCTGTGGGAGCTGATGCCCACCTTATTTTCTGAATGACGCCTGGGCCTGCCTACTGACTGTTATTTTGAATTGCACTGCTGCTCATGATGAATGTGCCAGTGTTGAATTGTAAATTATTGTATTTCCATTATTCCGTATTATTTTATTGAAATAATCATGGTAATGTTGCTTCATGTATAAGATAAGTTCCAGTGTTTCCCAACCCTTTTTGTGCTATGCCCCACCTAAGCCTTTCTAAAATTCTTATGCCCCCCCCTCCCCCATGTATCACATACACATACATAGTTTTTAATATTCAAAAATAGGTTTGTTCACTCAAGAAAATTAAATGATATGTTTTAGAAAGTAATCACTAGGACATTGGTGAGGAAACTTAGTTAGTAAATTTTTAAAAAATTTGATGGAGGACTGAAATTGAGATGATTCACAATAAATATAGCGTTATTAGTCACTTCACATTTTTGGAGCCAATGAAACTTTTCAAAATTTTTGTTGTAAATATTTTTCTGACATAGAGTTAATGAAACCAAATATCTTCCCTTTTGCATCAACAAGGGTTTTATTTGTTCTTTGAATATGGTTATTTAATATATTTAGTTTTTTAAAGATATCAACTAAATAACTCACAAATGCTGTTAAAAGATACTTCATATCAGGTTTGTCACTTTAAAAAATTGCAAGAGTATCAAATAGTTCCATAAATCTTTTCAAGCCATTCCCCATTCGAAAGCCATCTTACTTCAGTGTGAAGTAAAAGTCTCACATAGTCTGCAATTTGTTCTTCACAAAGTAGCTCAAAGAAACATTCACTTTCGGTATTAGCTTTAATAGCATTGATACACTTTATAAGTGAATTTAGTACTTCATTTAGAACAGGCGAAATGTTTTTAGCTACTTAGTTTTCCTTATGAATAACACATTGCTCAAGAAGCATTTCTGGATTCTCATCCTTCATCAATTTTAAGCAGCCATTTTTCTTGCCCATCGTATTAGGGTCACCATCTGCAGCACAATATTATATTTTTCATTGGTATATTATTGACACCTAGGTAATTTTTTTAGCTCATTATATATACATCTTTGACGGCAGTGGTGCTTTCTAATGATTTACAGAACAACATTTCTTCAGCGAAATACCCTTTATCAATAGATCTTACGTAATTTATCAAAACTGCCTCATGGTCTCTCAAAGTTCATTCATCCATCTGCACTGAGAATTTTCTTGTTTTCAGCTTTTCAACAAGTTGTATTTCAATATCTTCACTCATTTTGTCTATTCTTCTGCTAACAATATTATTACTGAGTGGCATAGCTTTCATCCCTTTTTTCTTGTTTCTTACATAACTAATTTCTGACACCAGTGCTACTTCTGTACTTAATTTATCTTTCTTTGAAAGGGAATTAACTCTGTTTTGCAATTGATTTACATATGTAAAACATTTTTGTAAGCTGTTAAATATGAACTAAATATGAATTAAGGATAAATTCTTCCAGAGGGTTTAATAAAATTATAATATTATCTGCGAAAGAACAGTGACGAGCACATAAAAATAAGAGAAGTTTATCACTATGCGCCAGGATGGATGCATTTGGACACATCCATTTGAAACCTCCAAGTGAAGCTAAATGATGATAAAACGGAAATCCTTCTCATCCACTCTCAAAACAAACCTCTCCCTCCATTCGCTCCTTCTTCTATATCTATTGGCAACTCTGACATCACACTCTCTCCCTCTGCCAGAAACCTTGGAGTCACGCTTACGGACACCCTCTCCATGGACAAACATGTCACGAATATATGCAGATCAGCATATAACGAAATTAGAAAAATCAGCACCATTAGACACCTCCTCTCCTTTGATGCCACAAAAACTCTCGTCTCTTCACTCATTCTTTCAAAATTTGACTACTGTAACATTCTTCTCTCAGGCATTCCTCAACACCACATAGAAAAACTTCAGAAGGCACAGAACTCAGCATGCAGACTCATTTTTAAATCAAAGAAACATGACCACATTCAACCACACATGCGGCAACTCCACTGGCTTCCAATATCCTCTCGCATCAAATACAAGTCTGCCAATCTTTGCTTCAACTCGTTCACTGACCCTCACTTTCCTGTCTATCTCTCTGAACTGTTGCTTCCTTACATCCCCACAAGACAACTACGTTCTTCCATTGACAGTAGAACCCTCTCAATCCCAAGAACTAAAACTAAGACCATCGGTGAACGCTCCTTCTGCTTCCATGGGCCCACGTTCTGGAACCAGCTCCCCTTCCATATACGTCATAGTGAAACCTCGTCCATTTTCAAAAAGTCCCTTAAAACTCATCTGTTTAGGTCCGCCTATGACCTGTGATGCACCCTCCTTGCCCTACCTCATTTTCTGTTTCGGGTTGATCCTGAAGTGTCAAAGTGTCCTCGTTTTATAGCCATTTTCATTGTTTCTATAGTATAGTAGTTACTATCCTAGTGTCTCATTTATATTTACTTAGTTTACATGTTTTAATAATTGTAAAGCGCTTAGAGCTTTATGATAAGCGCTATATAAAAATGCCTAAATAAATAAATAAATAAATACTTTTGGTTGCTTTTGTCGAGAATGAGTTAACTTTAAATATTAACTATTCAATATCTCATTCTATATTACCAAAATAATACACTCTTTTTTTTCTATTTGCAAAATAAATGAATAAAAAATGTTCAAACATCTCAGCAGGGAAAGATATTTTTAACAATAAGCCAGCATTTTCTTGTGTAACAATTATTTGGCTTGCAATCATCCAAATCAAATCCCTCAATTTGATTTTTGATCTAAAAAAAAAAGTTCTGAATGTGATGAGATTTCATAGGTTTTGTAACCTCAGAAATATAATTTTTTTCTATAAAAAAGGGGAATAAATTTTAAAAAACTCAATTTATCTATTTGGTGTTTTAATAATTATTTTAAAACTATTTTAAATAATGGTGTTTTTGTTAAGTTACAAATATGACAACAGTTTATTAATTTTATGTTTGATATGACATTTGAACATTGCGAAAACAAATTTAATACAACATTCCTGTAAGATAAAAGGTAGCTATGTATTCACTTGGTGTATTTCTGATAGAAGATTCCTGTAAGATAATAGGTAGATATATATTCACTTGGTGTATTTCTAATAGACCATTCCCGTAAGATAATAGGCAGCTATGTATTCACTTGGTGTATTTCTTGACCTCCAGCCTATTCTGACCAAAACACACAGACTGGTATCCCTAAACCTCTGCCACTGTCCAGGTGCCACTTCAGCTATGCTGTCAAAGCTGCCGGTGCTTTGCCCCAACCTCGGCAGGATCAAGCTCTCCCAAACATTCGATTACCAGGTAAATTATTTACAATTGTTTTAATTGTAAGTTATCCATTTTGATTTAAGTCATAAATAGCAGCTAGTCATTTAAATCAGCATTTAAGGACAGGCCATTCTTTTATTACCTTCATCAGTGAATTTGTATTAGCCGCATCTAATGAAATTGTCAATATCAATTTGATCTTTACAACAGGATAACAGTTTTATATCATTATTTTTAAAAAATTATCTGTAAAAAATGTGTGTTTGTCCAGAATTATTTTTTTTATTATAAAAAAAAACAGAAAATATAAATTATCTGAAATAACACCTGGTTACTTCTGTTTTCATCCCAGGATAAAATTGTCTACACTTCAATAGTACCTTTGATTGTTATGTGCGGTCAAACCATTCTTGAGATCCGCTGGTCAAATGTCATTTTTGTCAAAACAGAGTTCACCCATTTCATCGACATGTTAAAAGTAAGTTACTGCTTTAACTTTAACCCATGTGTTACACTCGCCCGATTTTTAAAAAAAAAAAAAATTTTATGCTAGTGCCAAAAATGAAAACAAAATAAAATTTGAAAAGTATTTGATCTTTTTGCACATTTCAAGATGACTGCTGATGTGATTTCTATTGTTAAAAAAAAAAGATATCATCAATCATTTGAGTTTTAATTAAATGAAGTAACTAATCAGTTGGCTGAAAAAAAGTTTTTGACAGATCAGTGTTATTCTTATTCTTGATTTCATTGGGTTTTTTTTGTTTTTTTTTAAATTTTGATTATTTTTTTGTATTGTTTGTGGTTGATGCCTTTCAATCCTACATACACAAGATTGAATTGCTGAATATCACAAACCAATATCAGATCTTTTACACAAACCTCTTCCAGCAAAACTGTCCAAATCTTGAAGAACTGGACATCAAGATGGCCAACTGTGCTTGTGCTTACCTGCCGTCACGGGAAGCTGACATTGGGGGCTTCATCAGTGCCTGTCCTAAGCTCAAAGAACTACGTCTTGATAGCCTTAATGTCTTAGATATAGCAAGGGTAAGTCCAGCTGGGGAGACAGGTTATGAGACCTGTTTACTCTTACTATTTTGGCGTACAATGTACGATTTTGAGGTTATAAATTATATATACTACATATTCATTTTTTACTATTAAGATAATGTATTGAACGATTTTGTGATGATATTGTACGATTTTAAGAGTTTGAGTGTAAACAGGTCTGTGTTATGTTAAGCCTGGCATACTGGTTATGTTAGTCAAGCGGAGCAGGCAGGTTATGTTAGTCAAGCTGGGCAGACAGGTTATGTTAGTTAAACTGGGAAGACTGGTTATGTTGAGCTGGGAAGGCATGTTATGTTAAGCCTGGGCATACTGGTTATGTTAGTCAAGCTGGGCAGACAGGTTATGTTAGTCAAGCTGGGCAGACAGGTTATGTTAGTTAAACTGGGAAGACTGGTTATGTTAGTCAAGCTGGGCAGACAGGTTATGTTCGTCAAGCTGGGCAGACAGGTTATGTTAAGCTGGGCAGACAGGTTATGTTCATATGGGAACATGTACTGAGATGGCTGTCTATATTCCAAAGGGAAAGCCTGACATGTTTTATAGCATTGGTCTCAGACTTTCCAAACATACCAGATATGACGCCCTTACATCTATATTTACATCTTACCTTACACCGTACCTTACATCTTATCTTAGCAGCTTCTCTACAACATTATTGACAGAATGCATGCCAAGATAGCATAATGCATGTGAATTTAGCACAACATCAAATGAAATGGAGATTCAATAGTCAGAAGACAACTGTATTTAACTCCACAGTGAAACAAGAGCCTTTAACTTCACATTAGTTTTAGATCGTGTTATCTTTATTTACCAATAGGTTTATCATTTAAAAATATTTGTGCATAATTTCATGACCTTCTCACCTAATTTAGTTTTTAAATGTGTAAATGTATGTCTTAAAAAAGCTGTGCATGTTTTTTCAAATACAGTTTATTTAAAAGTCAACTAGCGTATTAAAAACCTAGTCCATCCACATAAACTTACCACCACAACCTCCCCCATAAACTAACACAACAACCTCCCCACATAAACTAACACAACAACCTCCCCACATAAACTTACCACCACAACCTCCCCACATAAACTTACCACCACAACCTCCCCACATAAACTAACCACCACAACCTCCCCACATAAACTTACCACCACAACCTCCCCACATAAACTAACCACCACAACCTCCCCACATAAACTAACCACCACAACCTCCCCACATAAACTAACCACCACAACCTCCCCACATAAACTAACCACCACAACCTCCCCACATAAACTAACACAACAACCTCACCACATAAACTAACCACCACAACCTCCCCACATCAACTAACCACCACAACCTCCCCACATAAACTAACCACCACAACCCCCTTACATTAACTGTAAAATAAAAAAGTTTTACTGTTCAACTTCAACTGAAAGTTTCCCAAATATTTTCAGACGTCTGTTCCATATCCTGGCCTAAACAATTTGGAGATTTTTGCCCAGACCAAATTTACACATGACGTGCATGAAAAACCCATATTTTACTTGTGAGTATTTTAGATTGTGATATCAGAAACCTTGTGGTAAGGGGTGGACAACTGAGTTGAGGGGGAAATGGGATTGTAAGGGGGGGGGATTAGAGTAGGGGACGTAAAGACACTGGGTTCTGTCATGGATAGAGTGGGTAAGGTAAAGGCAGAGGGCATTGGGTGGGGTAGAGTGTGTAAGAATGGGTCAAGGGCATTGGGTGGGGTAGAGTGGGTAAGAATAGGTAGAGGGCATTGAGTGGGATAGAGTGGGTAAGAATAGGTAGAGGGCATTGGGTGGGGTAGAGTGGGTAAGAATAGGTAGAGGGCATTGGGTGGGGTAGAGTAGGTAGAGGGCATTGGGTGGGGTAGAGTAGGTAGAGGGCATTGGGTGGGGTAGAGTGGGTAGAGGGCATTGGGTGGGGTAGAGTAGGTAGAGGGCATTGGGTGGGGTAGAGTGGGTAAGAATGGGTAGAGGGCATTGGGTGGGGTAGAGTGGGTAAGAATAGGTAGAGGGCATTGGGTGGGGTAGAGTGGGTAAGAATGGGTAGAGGGCATTTGGTGTGTTAGAGTGGGTAAGAATGGGTAGAGGGCATTGGGTGGGGTAGAGTGGGTAAGAATGGGTAGAGGGCATTGGGTGGGGTAGAGTGGGTAAGAATGGGTAGAGGGCATTGGTAGATAAGGTATAGACTGAGGGCATTGTGGTGTAAGGTGGAGTAGATACGGTTTAGACTGAGGGCATTGTGGTGTAGGGTGGAGTAGATAAGGTATAGACACTGGGCCATGTCATGGGGGTAGAGTAGGTATGAATAGGTAGAGGGCATTGGGGTAGTAGGATATAGTAGTAAGGCATAGACAGAGGGCATTGGGTGGGGTAGACATACCTGTTTACCCCCAAACTCTTAAAATCGTACAATATCATCATATAATCGTTCAATACATTCTCTTTATAGAGCAAAAACGTGCTGTATATATAACGTATACACCTCAAAATTGTACATTGTATGCCAAAATCGTAAGAGTAAACAGGTCTGGGTAGAGTAGGTAAGGTATAGACACTGGGCCATGTCAGTGGGGTAGAGTGGGTAAGAATAGGTAGAGGGCATTGGGTGGGGTAGAGTGGGTAAGAATTGGTAGAGGGCATTGGGTGGGGTAGAGTGGGTAAGAATAGGTAGAGGGCATTGGGTGGGGTAGAGTGGGTAAGAATAGGTAGAGGGCATTGGGTGGGGTAGAGTGGGTAAGAATAGGTAGAGGGCATTGGGTGGGGTAGAGTAGGTAGAGGGCATTGGGTGGGGTAGAGTAGGTAGAGTGCATTGGGTGGGGTAGAGTGGGTAAGAATGGGTCGATGGCATTGGGTGGGGTAGAGTGTGTAAGAATGGGTCAAGGGCATTGGGTGGGGTAGAGTGGGTAAGAATAGGTAGAGGGCATTGGGTGGGGTAGAGTGGGTAAGAATGGGTAGAGGGCATTGGGTGGGTTAGAGTGGGTAAGATTGGGTGGGGTAGAGTGGGTAAGAATGGGTAGAGGGCATTGGGTGGGGTAGAGTGGGTAGAGGGCATTGGGTGGGGTAGAGTGGGTAAGAATGGGTAGAGGGCATTGGGTGGGGTAGAGTGGGTAAGAATGGATAGAGGGCATTGGGTGGTGTAGGGTAGGTAGAGGGCATAATCTGGTATATTTAAAAAAGGAGGTTATTTAGTACTAATTTAAAATATAATTTTCATCCCTATTACTTCCCTTGCTTAATCCAAGAACTGGTGCTAGAGTTATTTTGTGTTGCATGATTTCAACACTACATGAAATTTAGATTCCAGGTATAATTTAGGATTGGTTACAAGGCATTTGGACAATTGTTCACAGAATTTAAAATCACCCATGTCAAATTTGCTGTTATTTGTTATGAGCTGGCAATTTTCTTTTACGACTTATCCTCAGAAAAAATAAATTGGATGTATTTTTTGTTTAGGGGTTCATTGTTCATCTTGATATCACTTGAACTTGAAAATCAGTTTTCAAACTTCCTTTCAGAATGTTTGGGTCAGTGGCTAAGCTTAAAGTTCTGGACATAAGCTACAGCAACCTGTCCCCAGGGCTCATCACAGACAAGGTCAAGGCCCTGGAGTGTTTGCACATGGTTGACATGAGGTGGTCAGAGGAGGAGAACATTAACCTGTATCAATGTATAAATAGTGTAAGTGTAAGGAATGACCAATACCAATGTAGAAATAGTGTAAGAAATGACCAATACCAATGTAGAAATAGTGTAAGGAATGACCAATACCAATTTATAAATAGTGTAAGGAATGACCAATACCAATGTAGAAATAGTGTAAGGAATGACCAATACCAATGTAGAAATAGTGTAAGGAATGACCAATATCAATTTATAAATAGTGTAAGGAATGACCAATACCAATTTATAAATAGTGTAAGGAATGACCAATACCAATGTAGAAATAGTGTAAGTGTATGAAATGACCAATACCAATGTAGAAATAGTGTAAGTGTATGAAATGACCAATACCAATGTAGAAATAGTGTAAGTGTATGAAATGACCAATACCAATGTAGAAATAGTGATTTACCATCTTCCAACAAAACAAAAAAGACAGGTTCAGTAAAGGCCAAATTTTGGATAATTTTAGAGGCTAAAAAAGAGAAACACATTTCTAAGTTGAGGATGTCGACTACTGTAAACTAATGTCTTGCCATCTCCCATTAGTGGATGATGTCACTTAAGGAACTTGATATCTCCTGCAATAAAATGCCGTCCAAGGTCATCACCGAAGCCCTGTCACAGTACCGCAAGGGCAAGGACGCCCGCACGTCATACCCCCTGGAGGTTCTCAACTTGTCCAACACACAAGTCTATGGACCTCTTGTTCAGTGAGTCTCATTAATTAATCTAACTTGAGATCATGGGATGTTACAAAGTCAATTTAGTGAATATAACAGAGTTAAATTTGTCAATCTGACACAAAATGACAGTACAAAAGAGATCCCAACCTGTCCTAGTAATACTCTAGTAATAGGAAATACTGTTTGTTTAGATGTGTTGGTAACCAGCTTGTGAAAGGATTCAGCCATTTTTAGGTGTGTTGGTAACCAGCTTGTGAAAGGATTCAGCCATTTTTAGGTGTGTTGGTAACCAGCTTGTGAAAGGATTCAGCCATTTTTAGATGTGTTGGTAACCAGCTTGTCAAGGGATTCAGCCATTTCACATTGTCATCATGGTCATGTGTTGGCTGCCTGAGATATGTAGGAGTGCTGTGTACCCTACCTGAGACAGCATTTGTGTCATGTCATGTAGGACTGCTATGTACCCTACCTGAGACAGCCTTTGTGTCATGTCATGTATGAGTGCTAGGTACCCTACCTGAGACAGCCTTTGTGTCATGTCATGTATGAGTGCTATGTACCCTACCTGAGACAGCCTTTGTGTCATGTCATACATGAGTGCTGTACCCTACCTGAGACAGCCTTTGTGTCATGTCATGTAGGAGTGCTATGTATCCTACCTGAGACAAGCTTAGTATCATGTCTTGCATTGGTGCTATGTACCTTACCTGAGACAGCCTCAGTGTCACGTCATGAATGAGTGCTATGTACCCTATCTGAGACAGGTATGCAAACGTTGATTTATGAATTTCACTCATTTACAGATTAATCCTGGAAGAATGCTCCAATTTGAAGAGCATCAATTTAAACACCTGCCGCAACCTTCCCAGAGGTTGCAAGCAGTTGTTCTTCAGGAAAAGCTTCCCTGATCTACTAGCACGACTTCAACAGGTACCTGGCCCATGACCAGTGACACCGTGCTAAGTGGCCCTACTACTTTCCTGATCTACTAGAACGACTTCAACAGGTACCTAGCCCATGAACGATGATCCCGTGCTCGTGCTAAGTGGCCATGAACCCTACCTGACTGCCCATCTGAGGGCCAAATAAATTAAATTATTTCTTCTTTTTTTTTTTTTTGCATACATACTTAATGGATGCAACACCCCCTCCCCCTTGTATAAACTCTGGAAAAAAACTTAATGTTCTGCAAAGGTTGCATCTTGCTATCTCCTTACTAATGTTTGTATCTTCATGAACTTCTCATGTGGCCATAGACACATCTGTTTTGAAACAGTTCACTCTGCTGAATGGTCCAATCCTGGAATGGCTTCAAGTACTCTACAAGATATCAAGTCACAAAGTCGAAGCCAGCTGGTTGATGTACTCTATTGATCTACAAGAGGTCAAGTCTCNGTGCTCGTGCTAAGTGGCCATGAACCCTACCTGACTGCCCATCTGAGGGCCAAATAAATTAAATTATTTCTTCTTTTTTTTTTTTTTTTGCATACATACTTAATGGATGCAACACCCCCTACCCCTTGTATAAACTCTGGAGAAAAACTTGATGTTCTGCAAAGGTTGCATCTTGCTATCTCCTTACTAATGTTTGTATCTTCATGAACTTCTCATGTGGCCATAGACACATCTGTTTTGAAACAGTTCACTCTGCTGAATGGTCCAATCCTGGAATGGCTTCAAGTACTCTACAAGATATCAAGTCACAAAGTCGAAGCCAGCTGGTTGATGTACTCTATTGATCTACAAGAGGTCAAGTCTCAAAGTCGAAGCCAGCTGGTTGATGCACCAAATCCTTGTGGGATTAGTTCAAATTTTTGTAAAACAGAGTAGCTTGCCCATGGTTGCCGCCTACTTTTACCACTTAGGGTTGGTTCCAAAATTATGTTTGTTGTTTCTGAACTTCATTCCAGTTAGTTAACTAGGGTTAATTAAAACAGACCCGATAATAGAGTTTTTAAAATAAAATGTATACTTTAACTCTGAATAATTTCTTTCCTCTCAATTCACTGTGACGTCATCCGATCCATGTTTACCTAGCCAAACCATGACAACCATGAAAGCGGAAATGATATGCACCAACCCATTATGCTCTTTTTTCTCTCCGAAAATAAATATTTTTCCCTTCGTGATCTTACCCCTTTGGGTTCAGACATGCTCATGTTATCTTTCTTTACAGAAAAGTCAACACTTTCTACTTAATGGTAATTGGTTGAATGTCTGCTGGGTGCTCAAGATAGGAGCCCGCTGCCAATGAGTTTGTAATTATGATTAGGTTCAGAGTTGTCAATATTTTAATGGTGGCATTTATTTTTGACTAGTAGTTGTGTGATGGTGGCATTTATTTGTGACTAGTAGTTGTGTGATGGTGGCATTTATTTGTGACTAGTAGTTGTGTGATGGTGGCATTTATTTGTGACTAGTAGTTGTGTGATGGTGGCATTTATTTTTGACTAGTAGTTGTGTGATGGTGGCATTTATTTGTGACTAGTAGTTGTGTGATGGTGGCATTTATTTGTGACTAGTAGTTGTGTGATGGTGGCATTTATTTGTGACTAGTAGTTGTGTGATGGTGGCATTTATTTGTGACTAGTAGTTGTGTGATGGTGGCATTTATTTGTGACTAGTAGTTGTGTGATGGTGGCATTTATTTGTGACTAGTAGTTGTGTGATGGTGGCATTTATTTGTGACTAGTAGTTGTGTGATGGTGGCATTTATTTGTGACTAGTAGTTGTGTGATGGTGGCATTTATTTGTGACTAGTAGTTGTGTGATGGTGGCATTTATTTTTGACTAGTAGTTGTGTGATGGTGGCATTTATTTGTGACTAGTAGTTGTGTGATGGTGGCATTTATTTTTGACTAGTAGTTGTGTGATGGTGGCATTTATTTTTGACTAGTAGTTGTGTGATGGTGGCATTTATTTTTGACTAGTAGTTGTGTGATGGTGGCATTTATTTTTGACTAGTAGTTGTGTGATGGTGGCATTTATTTTTGACTAGTAGTTGTGTGATGGTGGCATTTATTTTTGACTAGTAGTTGTGTGATGGTGGCATTTATTTTTGACTAGTAGTTGTGTGATGGTGGCATTTATTTTTGACTAGTAGTTGTGTGATGGTGGCATTTATTTTTGACTAGTAGTTGTGTGATGGTGGCATTTATTTGTGACTAGTAGTTGTGTGATGGTGGCATTTATTTGTGACTAGTAGTTGTGTGCTCTGCTGTCTTTGTCTTGAGCTTTAAAAAAATGTATTCTACTGAATTATTTTAAAACTGTTGAGTGCCAAACATTAATGAAAACAATCTAAATTATCTCAAGTTATTCTATCACTCAATCTATACTTTTATTTTTATTTTCCCTGTATCAACCAACCTACTGAAAAACAAGAAATTTTCCCATTGATGGCCACGACTTGAACGTGTAAATATTTTTTTTGTTCTTTTGATTTGTATCTGTTTATTGCTACAGAGCTCAAATATGTTTATGAAAAGGTGTTCACTTAAATGATTCATCCATGGTTATGTTTTCCTGAAGTGCCATAAATGCAATAATAAAGCTATCACAAACTCTTTTTATCAATATTGTTAAAGCGTATCACAATCTGTTGACCAATAGTGTTAAAGCGTATCACAATCTGTTGACCAATAGTGTTAAAGCGTTTCACAATCTGTTGACCAATAGTGTTATTTGAAGAACTATCTGTTATTATCTATGAAATCATTGGAAGCTAAATAAAATAATGAAGTTTTATGTCCTCTTTCTAAGTGCAGAATAAAAAAAACTAGCACTATCCTACAAGCAAACACAATCCTACACTCAATCATGCAAACACAATCCTACACTCAATCATACAAACAATCCTACACTCAATCATACAAACACAATCCTACACTCAATCATGCAAACACAATCCTACACTCAATCATACAAACACAATCCTACACTCAATCATACAAACACAATCCTACACTCAATCATGCAAACACAATCCTACACTCAATCATACAAACACAATCCTACACTCAATCATACAAACACAATCCTACACTCAATCATACAAACACAATCCTACACTCAATCATACAAACACAATCCTACACTCAATCATGCAAACTCAATCATACAAACACAATCCTACACTCAATCATACAGACACAATGCTACACTCAATCATACAAACACAATGCTACACTCAATGATACAAACACAATGCTACACTCAATGATACAAACACAATGCTACACTCAATCATACAAACACAATGCTACACTCAATGATACAAACACAATCCTACACTCAATCATACAGACACAATGCTACACTCAATCATACAAACACAATGCTACACTCAATGATACAAACACAATCCTACACTCAATCATACAAACACAATCCTACACTCAATCATACAGACACAATGCTACACTCAATCATACAGACACAATGCTACACTCAATCATACAGACACAATGCTACACTCAATCATACAGACACAATGCTACACTCAATCATACAGACACAATGCTACACTCAATCATACAGACACAATGCTACACTCAATCATACAGACACAATGCTACACTCAA